ATAATATGAATTAAAAATAGAATTAATAATAAATTAAATTAATTAATATAAATTACTTATTTACCTGATTTAGTAGTAATTGGCGATTATTGCACTATGTGCTGCAGCTACGCCACGTTTACTGCATCACACGAATAAGCTAATTAATTACAATATTAATAAAATCTTAAAAAGAAAGTAATATTAATCAAAATCAAGAATTTGATAAAGAAATATTTTTAATAATAATAAAAAAAATTATTAAATTATTGCAAAAGATAATTAAATATAATAAATAATTAAAAACTTTAGATACTTTTAATTTTGAAATTATAAATTTAATATATAAAAAATTTATTTAATAGAAATATAATTATAAAATATTAAAAAATTAAAATTTAATTATATTATTTTTTAATTAATAAATATTAATATTTATATTTATTAAAATTTAAATTATATATAAATATAATTATATTTATATAAGTATATCTTTTTATAATTACTAGTTTTTCTATTTTCAAGAAAGTAACTATATAGAGAATTAACTATATAATTATAATTAATAAAATTAAATTAAAATTATTAATATTTATATATATAATTATAAAAAGTTTATTATATAATTATTTTTATATATTTAATAAATAATATAAAATTATTATCTTTAAGTTTATTAATATTTTATATCAAATTTTTTTAAAAGAAATTTTATTTATATAAATAAGAAAAAATAAATAAATAATAATAAATATTATAATGAATAATTTTTATTAGCTATATATAATATCTTTATCTATAATATTATTACAAAATAAATAGATATTATATAAAAAAATATTAATTTTATACTTATTTAAAAATTTTTTAAATATTAAATATATATAATAACTTTAAAAATTATTTTATCTTTAATTATAATTAATTTATAAATAATAAATTACAAAATATAAATTATATTTTCAAAAATAAAAAAATTAATAATATTAATAATAATAAAAATTCTTTGATAAATTAAATAATAGATAATAAAATTGATTTAATAATAATTTTAATATAATAAAAATAAAAAAAAATAAAATTAATTATTATAAAAAATATAATAATTATTAAAATTATTATGATAGAAGAAAGCTTAACTCACTAGTCATATAAATTTATTTTAATTTCATATATATAATATAATATAGTATATTATATAATATAACTAATAATATAATAGATATTAAAGTAATAATATATAATATAATATATTATATAATATAATTAATATTATAATAAATATATATAATTTTTATTATTTCTTAAAAGTTAGTTAATATAAATACTAATTAAATAAATATTTCTTAAAATAAATTAAGGTATAATTAATTTTTTTAAAGACTTAAATCTAATATTAAATTAATAAAAATTATTTATATATGATATATTATTATATTTAATTAATAAAATAAGTTTTACATAATAAAAAATCATATAATATATTTTAATTTTAACTAAATCATATAATAAATAACTAATTTAAAATACTTATAACTTTTTATTTAAAATTAAAATTCTAACTAGTAGTTCAATAATATATATTTTAAGTAATATTATTACTGATTTATTTTTTTAAAATTCTAAAAAAAAATTTTAGAAATAAAATTTAAATTTATAAATAAAAAAATTTTTTATATAATTTAAAATTATATATAATTATATAAATAATTTAAATTTTATATATTTTATTTTTAATTAAATTTAAATAATAAATTCAAATCTATTAAAAAAATATTTTATAAAAAAATAATTTATATAATAATTTATAATATATTTAATTTATTATATATCAAATTATAATAAAAAATTAAGATAAATTTATTATAATAAATAATTAATTATAAAAAAAATTTAAATACATAATATTATAAATTTTTATAAAAACTTATAAAATAATATAAAATCGTAAAATTTATTAAAATATTATATAAAAATTACTTAAATTATATATAAAATTTATTTTTATTTCTTAAAATATTTAATAATTAAATTTAAATACTTAAATTTTTTAATTTATTTTTAAATATTTATTTAAAATTTTCTTAAGTTATTTTTTTATTATTTTAAGTTAAAATAAAATTATAAGATATAATTAATTAATATAGTTTAAAATTTGTAATTTGATTTATAATTTATTAAAGATATATAATTTATTTTTAAAATTAATTCTTAAATTAATTTATAAATATTATTCAAATATTTATATAATTAAATTATTAATAATTTTTATTTAAAATTATTCAAGAATTAATTTATTTATTTTTTAAAAAAATTTCTTTATTATTGATTAAAAATAAAATTTTATTATAAATTTATAAAAATTATTATAATAAAAGTTGTTTTTTATAATAAATTTTATTATATTATATTAAAATTAGAAGAAATCAAGTTTAAAATTTTAAAATTTAATAAAAATTAATAATAAAAATTTTTAAAATAAAAAATTTTTTTAAAATTATATATTTTTAATTTATAAATAACTTTATTTTTTATAATAATTAAAAAAATTAAAAAATTTAATTTAAGAAAAATTTTAATTTTTAATAAACATAAATTAGATATAAATTTATAATATTTAAATATAAAATTAAATACTTAATCTAATAAATTAAAAGATATTATAAAAAATTATTAATTATTATAAAAAATTATTATTCTAATACTAAATTCTAAATTAATTTAGAATAATTTTAATTTATAATATTAATATTTAATATATAAAGAAATATTTATTAATATTTAAATATTAATTATATAAATTTATTAATTTTATAAAATTTATAAAAAATATTACAAATAATATAAAATATTAAATATAATTTATTAATAAATTCAAATTATTAAATATAATTTATAAATATTTTATATATTATTATTAATTTATTTTTTATTTCTATTTTATAATTTAATAATATTACTTTATCACATTTAGTTTTATTTATTCTTTAAAACTTTAAAACTTTCTTTAATTTTCTTTATTTAATTTTCTTATTAATCTTTTATTTTTAATATTATAATTATTAATTATTATTTCCATTTTAATTAGTAAAGATATTATAATAATATATATTTATTATAGATTTTATTAATAATAATAATAAAAAATTATAAAAATTAGAATATTAATTTATATTTCATTATTTTATATAAAGAATTCATGAATTTTATTATTATTCTATTATTATTATTTTTTTATTTATTTTCTTTAAAAGTATTCATCCTTTCAAATAAATATAATTTATCTAATTAAGAATAATAATAATATTATATTCTTTTAAAATAAATAATACTTATTTTTTTTTGAATTTTAATTTTGAATTTTAAAAATACTTCATACTAGATATTTTCTTGAAATAACTTTCAAAAATAAGTATCACTTAATTAATATAAATAATATTTATTTTTAAATTAATATAATATAAGACTTGCTTCTTATTTAAATAAAAACATCATTTATAACTATCTCTTTCTAATTCAAGAAAATTAATATTATTTATAGCATGCTTATTTATATTGATTCAAAATTTTCTTTAAGCATATAAACTTATAAATTTATTATTTTAATTAATACATAAAATTCATAATATTTGATATGAATAGCGAGAAGAAATGAAAATTCTTGAGCTAATTCAGATCATATGCAACTTAAGTCACATAATTTCTCAAAGATAATAAATTTTTGATTCTCTGGGACAAGTCACGCAATTTCCATTCATGCATTGTATATTGTGTAAACTAAAAATAAATTATACGTAATCCATTCTTAAATATTCAATGTATTAAAAATCCAAAAAGAAAACTGCCCATTTTCGATATTTAAATTATACTATGATATGTAAGAAAAAAAAGCCATACTCTATATAATCTAATCTACTGAGGAAAAATCAAGTCTACAAACGAGAAAAAACTCGCATTCTTATTGCCCATTCTCTTCAAAAACTTCAACCGGTCGATCACTATACAATAACGCGACAAAATTTCCCGTAATGCCTTTATCCCAGGTGGAGAACACAATAACATATCCTTATTAAATAAAATTCATTATTTTCAATTAAATAACCATAAGAATAAAGACATTAAAGACACGATGAAATAACAAAATTACCATGAGGAGGTAGCGCGACATCTTCTGTACATACACCCTAATCATTGAAGAGAAAATTGATATAGTCAATAAGCAGAACTTGAGACACCACTCTAGATATATCGATATACTAAAAAAAAAATCAACAATACTCACTTGTACATAATTAGTATAAGGCCCAGAACTTGCCACTTCACGCCCAAACTTTTTTGTTGACGCGTGTTTTTCAAAGATTTTAATGTTTGTTGCGGGGATTGGATTTATGTTTGGGGTTTGTAGTCGTACTCTTATCAATTAAAAGATATTGAATTAAATAATTTAATCAGAAAATGAAATCATACATTTAGACACACAAAATACATACTTTATCGTAGTCATCTCCTTAAGATTAAGGTAATAACATGGATTTCGATGATATTCACCAAAATTAGGACATCCCATTGCATTAATACCGTCAATCCTATTAATTATTATAGTTATTGCTATCATTAATGATACAGAAATAGAAAGCGATGCGTAAATTAGATTCAAAAACATTTTTACCATTTTCCATTAATTACTTTTTTGAACATTCCCTTTTTTTAAAAATAATAATAAAATATTAGATATCATTAAATTAATAAAAAAAATATATACATATGAAATAACGTACAGCGCCTTCTGCAGGTATAGGCACAACACTAAAGCCAATTACGTTTGATCCAACGGTCAATAAGAAATCACCGCATAGACCAGGTTCAAATGTTGATACGATAATGGTGTAATCACCCGCTTTATATTAACAAGAATTATTAGTTAATCAAATAAAAAAAAACTAAATTGATAGGAGGAAATTCTCACGTTGAATATCTTCTACTTCACAATAACAGAATCCGTGACGATAATCACCTGATTGGGATAGTATATCTTTGGCAGATACACTAAAGGAAAATACGTGTGCATAATAAATCCCGAATCAACAAAATGAATACAAATCTCGTAATAATAAAAAAGTGATATAATCAAACAATTTTACCTAGCAACTCTTCTACCACGGCTCCATGCTATTTTCACATGAACAGCAAAATCTTTTGGTCCCTCCAACATTATCAACAATCTTGGCTTATTATTATTAGAAGAATGTGGTATTGAAACACGATATTGTGGATTATTTAAATATGTGATGTGAGATTTGTTGCCCCCTGCTGTAAGAGGTGTCCATTGACCTGCAATCTGATAATTAAAAATAATATTAACGATGAAGTATCGAAATTAATATAATCATTCACGAACAAGATCTAATAGCTCCAAATAATAATAAAACATACCTTTTTCTCAATTGGATATTTTTGTGGAATCTCACATAATGTGAATGGAGAAGTGCAATAACATCTTAATGTGAAATCCAGCGAATTCATTTTTTCGTGTTGTGCAACTACGATGGTATACCGTGTTGTACCTGTCGGCGCGTTAAATCGTACCTTTTTTATGAAGTTCGGTAATTATTTTATGTTACATTGAAATAACGATATTAATGGAATAAGAACTTATATTTACCAGAATATGAGGACTATTAATATACACGCCCTAAAATACAACAGAAAAAGATTTAAAATCAACTGTCGATTTCCTGATATTTATATCAATTTATATATGTAAAGTTAATACCTGAATGAAAGGTTTTCCGGGGTAATAAATCTTTTCGCCAAAGGTTGCAATAGTATCCAAACAATTACTGCTACCACTATTATTATCGCAATTATACACATGTAAGGTGATATAATCCTTGTTTTCTTTTATCACTGTGATGTGTTTGGTGAGTAATAGAAAGACGGCACATGATTCTTTTTTGGAATTTTGTATTTCGAGAGTATATTGTGGATTGTTTGCTTTTTTAGATAGATGTATTCAAGTATTAGTATTGGATCAAGGTGCGATGTAGGAAAGATCAAAATTATAAGTTACCTACATAGATTTATATTATCAGGATGCATGCTATCACTAATAGGCCACGAACTGCGAAAAATATGAAGTGCGTGAAACTAAGTAATTATATTTGTCTAATAAAAAATTCGCTTTATAAACTTACGAATGTAATATATATCGCCAAGAAAATAACTCCGGATTCCAATTCATATGTATTGAATCAAAATATTTGCATACAGAGTCAAAGTCAATCCAGAACACACCTATACAAAAGACCAACAATTGATACTTTTCCTACACCATAAATAATATGATTAAATAAAATATATACCATCATCCTTATATCCGGCTTTCACCCGATCATACTCAAGCGATTTCATTAGCTCACTTGTCCAACTTGTTTCATCTAGGTGACTAAATGAGCCGGTCCATCTTTTATGGCTCCATGGATTTTTGACCTTTTTTTAAACAGAAAAACTATTAAAATGTATGTTCAAAAGATTTCTTGAATAATAAAACTATTCCTAACCTGTAACAAACATAGCCCATTAACTTCTTTAGCGTCTAAATAATATTAACAATAAAAAATATTAAAATCTTCTTCCTAAAATGGATAAAAATGTTTATTCTGATTAAAAGTTACCTAGCACAGCATACGCATGAGTAGGAACCAAACCAACCAAATCTGCTTCTTCGTCTGTCATGGAACCAGTTGCAATTGTTATCAATGCATCACCTTTCCATTATAATATTACATTTATAAAAAAGTTTTACATCAAAAAAATAAAAATAAAAATAAAAAACCTCCAACTAATGATGTAAAAAAATTATTTACCTACCAAAATTCTGGCCATCCAAAATTCTTTTCCATGTACTTTTTCGATTAAAACTCGAACTTTTTTTTTGAATAAATCATCAAATCAAATTCATAACGACGAATCTAAAACCTTAAATCCTAAATTACTTACTCATTTATAAAAATATGCTCAGGGATCCACCCAGTAAGCGCACTATTGTAATAATTACATGCGTCAATATTAAATGCGAATGCAAATGAATTAGTTTCTCAACAGTAATTAAAACAAAACTCAACTGTAAATCAATCCCTGAATTACTATAAAAGAAACCACAAATTAAGTCATAAGGTACACATAAAAAAATCACATGAAAATAGAGAAGCGATGTATGCGTCTAATATATTGAGAAACTTACGATCCAGGGAAATCATAGCCACCCATCAACTTCATATACTAAATAAAGATAAATTAATTAATTCTAAAAATAAATAGAGCAATAATAAAGAAATGTAAATACCGCTTTCTCAATTATGCTAGCCCAAAGTTCATCTTTATTCGACGAAAACGTGCACATAAGTGTTCCATCACGTGAAACAGGGAGTAAATCATCAACCACTGAAAATTAATAAAGCCTGTGAGCAATTTTATCATGTTAAATAAATAATAATCTCTCCTTTCAATAAACAATCCAATAATTGACCTACTGACCAACCTAAGAAAGAAATAATAAAGAATTAGCATCAATATTTCTTCTACTCATCAAAAAAAAACATATCACGAATAACAAAAAATAAATATTGGAACAAATAAAATATAAATAAACTTACTGACATACTTTTCTTGCGATGCCATTACACGTTAATTTGATCATATACTTCCCACTCGGATTATACATTGGCTGTCCCAATTTATTTTGTGGATATATACATCGTGTTATCAACTATCGATAATTAATAAGAATTATAGAATTATTCAAGCGATAAAATTATATTCAAACCATCAAAACAGAAAAATACTTACTTGTTTTTTGAATCTCCTTTCATACGCTGCAGTTACACATAAAGACGCAACAAACGAACAGTCGGTAACAATATCCTTTAAGCACAGCAATTAATAATAATTATCATTTATCAAATAACTAAGATAGCACACGTATTTGATCAAAATATATAATGTAATGATAATAACCTGAATAATGCTCGTACTAGAAATCATTGCGATCATTCTAGGATTATCTGTTATTTGGGATGGACGCACCCAAGCACCAAAATTATCTTTTTGCTTATCTGATAAATTCACCGTGCCATCGGGATCCCTAATTCAATTAAATAATCAACAGGCTTAATAGAAATTCAAATACTATTTCTTCAATAATTGATATGATTTTATACATACCTGAATAGTTCACTATAAGTAAACTGTTCTTGTAAATCAATCTCTAGCCAAGGATAATAGATTTTACCATTGATATGTGAAGTTTTGAAAAGTACATCCACCTCTGTTGCTGTCAATTTATTGTCTGACACTGAACAAGAACGCGTGGATTCTGCATTGGCAGAATGTGTATCTTTTAAAAGTATAATTATATATTGTATTAAGATTTTATCTTTCCTGTTTCTTTAATATATCTAAAATAAATATCTTTCTTACTTAGTAATGACATTTTTTTCGTCGGTAATCCTTTGATATTCTCTGCTCTATCAAGTAAGTCTTTTACTTTTAACTTTAGATTTGCTTTAAGTTTTTCATCACGCGTCTCTATGATAATTCAGAAAATTAAATTGTAGCAACACGTAATTTAAAAATATATATATATATATATATATAAGAACCTTTAATAGCCTTAAGATAATGTTCTGCTACACCCGTATACAAGTCTAATGCTTCTTGATAATTTTTTTGCGCATCTTGTTTTTTTGCCTTCGCTAATTTTATCTACTTTAAGAAATAAATAAAACTTTTAAGAATATGATGTTAAGAATAAAAATTCGCTAATTAAATTAATTCATCCAAACACTCATATCTAATTCAATATTGATTTGATCATCTCCACAAACAACTCAAATGTCAAATAAAATTCTACGAAACCTGCGCATCATTCAACAACTTATCAACTGCAGACAGCGGTGATAACGCATCTACGTTAGCTTTCGGATTACTACTTTGATTTTGAATCTGGGAAGAGGGGGAGGATGACGATAGAATACAATTCAATTGTTCGACGCGTTTTTTGTATTCTTGACACTTGCGAATTACAGTATTTTTCTTTTGAGTATTGGACTCGTCTGTAATATTAATTCGAGTAAAAAAAACTGTTTGTCTTAAATTATCTTTTTATGAAAAATGAATAAAATAATCTTGCAAATACCTTTGATAATCTGCTCAAACAACTATTTTATATACATAACAAGACAAACCAAAATGAATCAAAGTTGTAATGTTATCAATCTTTAATACATCTATAAAATCTAACACACCTGTATAACTTTTATATAGTGAGTTTTCGCTATTCCAAAATTGCCTTTCCCATCCTCGGTTACTGCAAGTTTAGCTTCATTTAAAGCCTGTTGGGTTAGACTTGTATTCATGCTGTTGTTTGTTCTTATTTTTAATTATATTTGGTTCAGCCAATTCAAAGTTTGAAATATAGAATTTCTCATAACGAAGAATAATGGTTACACAAAATTTCAGAAATTTTTAGCGCGTTTATTTCTCACAATTTTTCCGATTACGTATACATGTAGTCAGTCAAATCAAAAAGAGAATATCTAATCTTAGTAACGAAAGCATCACCCATCATAAAAACTCGGTGCCCCATATGGTTTAGGTTACAATTACAAAATCTAAATTTTAAAAACTGGGATGATCAAAATCAAAATTTTAAAAAAACTGGACAATCAACCTTGTGACGCAATATCTCAATGTACAATAAGGACAAGTATCAAATGGTTCTAGATTTGGCCAAATTAGTCGAGATATCGCGCCCCAAAGTTACCGAGTTTTTTAAATTTTGATTATCATAATGATCTAGACGTTTTTCGGTTGGCAGAAAACTACTGCGGAGAAAAAATGCCGTAAATTACTGAAAAAATTAACGATCAATTATTATATTCATGAGCATTGTATGATTATCTATCTATATTTGGTTTCTTTTTAATTAATGTCGTTAGCGTAAGTTTTCAATAACGGGAAGTTATACGCAGCAATTTAGTGGAAATTCCGTTGAACTTCCCCAACAATTTTCCCAACTAATGAACGATATAAAAAAGACAACAAAAAAAAATTCTATTCTCAACATTTACAAAGCAAAAAAAAGGACCTTCTATTTTATATAAAACATTTTTCTGAATGTATGTATCATGAGTGTATATATGATTTTGATGTGTCGATGATAGGATGAGCCACTAAAATGACGTCTTTTGCTATACCGATACATATTAGCTTTTTACAAAACTTTAAAGCACTCGACACGAAACAATCATGGATAATAAGACAGTGTCGCTTACTGAGACTTCAGTTGCGGACACCTTAAACCTTGCTTCAAAATCTAGTTCGTCGTTACCTATCGCAACAAATATTCCTCTTGAAATCTTTGCGAACATTTGCAAATACCTACAGCTTTTCGACTTATCCAAGTTAACGCGAGTATGCAAACAATACAGAATATATTTGATGTCCCCCGCGAACCAGGATATCTGGCGTACATCACGATTAGAATTCCTCAGTTATCCAAAGCTCCTACCGGAAGGCATGACAGAACAAGACTTTTTCAAGCTTACGTCAACTATGAAGGGCTGCCAATTCTGTGGTACTCGTAATTCTCAAATTTCGCTTCACTGGGAGTTCAGGGTCCGCTGTTGTGATGAATGCTACCAAACTAAAGCAATAGAGTAAGTGTATTAATTTTAGAACATTATTGCGTTAATTGGAAATATTTTATAACTCTTTAATAAATCAGATTAACTAAGGATGCTGATCCCATTGAGGTTGATGGCCAAAAGATACCCGAGGAACTAAAATCATGTCTTTCATATAAAGATTCACCATATAGAAATTTACATTGGCTGCAAGTAGATTCATTGTACTTACAACTATGTAAAACATTCTGGATTCCTGAAATAACTGTTACTGCACAACAATACGAAAACGTCGCTTGCTCTGAACGTCAGGAATGGATCCTCGAAAGACAAAAGAAAAAAGATTTTTGGTTGAATGAGGGGCTTGAAGGCTACAAGTCCGCGTTTAAGAAGGAAATGATTAATTGGCAAAATGAAATCAAAGATAGATTTAACAAAGAAAAAGATCATCTACTGGAAGACGTCCTTAAAAGATATCCCGCAAAGAATTTTTTAAAAGAATACGCGTATAAAGTAAATACGGTAGCTTCTCCGAGATTTTACGGATTTAAGATGAACGAAAATGATTGGTCTATTTGGCATAATAATGCGGTAAATGAGCTTATAGAAAAAATTGCAGAGCCACGAAAGAAGGAAATTCGGGAAAAAATACGTTCTTTGATCTCACCTCAGCCAAAGTCAAACGCGCGCGTTGTAAAGAAAGTGCAATATTTTAAAAACTATTATCCATTGCGGAATGATATAGAAATAACCAAAGGATCGAATCAATTCGTCATATTGCCCACGGACCCACTTCTAGAATGCTTCAACCTCTGCCCTTCCTATATTAATCCTCCATATCATGACAATGATCTGACGAAACCGTGGGAGGAAGAATTTTTGACGAACACCTTGATTCCACGACTTCAAGAGGAAGCATCCAAACGTTCTAAAGGCATGACAGAGGCATGGGCGCGACAATACAAATGTGCCCGTGAATTTGGTTTGGATTCATTTCATGTTTTTACTTGTCGTATTTGCGGCGTCACATCCCGAGGAACTCGCATTTTCAGACTTCAGAGCATTATGCAGCATCTTCGATCGCAACATCAAATTTATGTCCGACATGCGGATAATATTGGTGTCGATGCCGAAGAAGCTATTTATCATTTTTGGCGTTCGTAAAACGGTTTACTTTTCAACTCTATCTATATACACTATTTCATAAATAATTGAGAACACTATACTATTTTCTAAGAAATAGAGAACATTATATTATTTTATAAATAACTGGGCCCCTTTTTTTTTTTTTTTTTTTTTTTTTTTTTTTTAATAATAAAATTCTGATAAAATTATTCATAATTCTGGCTAGCATTAAGAAATTAGATCACAATTCAGGCCAAACATGAAAAATTATGTCGTAACATATAAATTTGGCCAACATTAAAATCAAGCAAAAATTAAACCAAATTATGTGACATCAGCATTAAAAATTAAAGTAATGCAACTGAGATATCATGCCTTCAATCATCAGATTATGTACCTTATCTAATGATTGATCATCTGAAGGCAAATATATGATAGCAACATTTTAAATACAGATTAAATTTAATTGATATATATGTAATATCAAAAATATCTATCATGTAAGTGAAAAATTTGAAATAAAAAAATGATTGAAAAGATAATAATGATGATAACTTTTTGATAATTCATTTATTTATGAAATATATAAATTTTAAATATATATAAAAGATATAGAATTGATTAAAATAATAAATATATATATATAAATATATATATAATATTTATCAAAAGTATTCTCCTTCATTCTAAATCAATAAGAAGATAAAATAAATAAAAAATCTTTTTTTTATTTAAAAATTCTAATTCATATAATAAGATTAATATATGTTATAATCATTTTTAATCTTAATTAAAGCTTCTATACATTTTCTTATACTTGAAACTAATCAGGCTATATATTTTTTTGCAATTTCTTCTTCAAACTCTTAATAGTTCTAATTTTTTTTTGTCAAATTATTTTTCACAAATCTTCAAATATTTTTAATTAGATTTTGATCAGAAGATATTGATAATTATAAGAAAACTTTTATATTTATTTTTTTCTTTTATATCTTCATAATTTTTGAATGATACTTGAAATTATTATCTTTTTGAAGAATTTACTAATTATTTTTTTGATTAAAAAGTTTATTAGCAGATGATAAAAGATTTATTTCATATATATTTAGCAAAAAATTAACATTAAGATTTCTTACAAAGCAAATTAGTTTATTAAAACTTATAGATAAAAAATATTCTTATATATAGATTTTTAAAGAATACTTCACAGAATAACTTATTTTTCTTCTTTTAGAAAATTAAAATTACTAAGCTTATTTTATATCTTAATTTAAATAAAAAATACTTTTATTCAAAAAAATTATTTTATTCTAGTTAAAATATAATAAATTTAATTTTCTCTCACAGATCATTACTACACTATACATGATACTACATCACAAAAATCATTTCATAAAGTCACATGATATATTTGAGCTATTTTAGCTATAGATAGTTTTCTTAATAGAATTTCTCTTTTCTCTTATTTTACTAATTTAGTTAGCATATTACTATATTTATATATTTCATTATTTATTTCATTATTTATTCATTAATAAGCATCTTTTAAAGATACTATCATATAAGTATTATCTATTATTAATTTTTATTTATTATATTATTAATTCTATATAATATTAAATTATTATTTAAAAATATTATTTTTGTTTTGTATTTTTAATAATCACATAATGACATAATAAAGAATAAGTTTTAAATATTATAATCTTGTCTATCTTGAATCAGTTTTCTGTGTGAATTCTATTTCAACTAACATTACTATATATCTTGAATCTTTTATGTGAATTTTCCTGATATATTAAATAACATAACAAGAAAATTATATAAAGTTTCTATATTTTTTATCTATTTTAATTATTTTTATTAATATTTCTCTATGAAAAGAAGTTTTAAAAGCTTACTCATATATTTATCTTTCTCTTCATAAAAATAATATTATATAATATATATATTAATATCAATATTTTATTTAATTATCTTCTTTCAAATTTTTGAGATTATTATATTAATTTTTTTTTATAAGCTTTACTATTTACTTGTCTTGTTATTAAATAATTACTCTTTGTTAGTCTATCTTTGATTTATTACTTAAGTTTTGATTTTCTTTTCATTTTTAAATTTAATAATAAACTATTTTTTTATTATAATAAACTATTTTAACTATCTCATATATTAATAACTTGTAATTTTTTGAATAAATATACAAAAAGATAATTTTATATTATTAATTTAAATTTAAAGATATTTTATTTTTTATTAATATATAATCTCTCAAAATATAAGTATAATTTATATTTAAGTTATACTATATATATAAAATTATAATATCATGTATATGATTATTTGGAAATTACAGAAGAAATATTTTTAACAGATCCTATACAAAGAAAATTATTATAAATTACTTGATATATTTTTATTCTCTAGATTTGTTTTATATCATAAAGAAAATATACTTAAAGAAATTAATAAAATATTATATCTATCTATTTTATTTTATAGATATATTAGATAATTAATTAATATTTTATCTAATAATTAATATTTAATATATCTTAATTATTATTTAAAATAAGTATTAATCTAAGATATAATATATATATATATATAAAAAATTTCTTAAAATTTAGTTTTTTAGTCAACTTGATTTTTCTTAAATTATTAATAAATTATCTAATAATTCAAAATTAAAAATTGCAATCTAATTAATTATTTATTAATATTATTATAATTAAAATTTTTTTAATTTATTATTAACTTGACTATATCTTATTAAATAATCATATATTATATATTTTATATTTTATTAATAGTAATTTTATTGATTATTTTATTTATTTATAAATATATAGTACTTACTAGTTTTTTGGTTTTTATATATATAAGTAATATATATATATATATCTTAAATTTTTAATTTGTTTTTTACTTATATTTTTACTTACTTAAAAAAATAAAATTAGATAATTAAAGAGATATTATTACCATTTTTGGTGCCCCTTGAAAAGGTTATTTCGTGGTAGGTTAATAACTTTATATATAATATTTGGCCAAGATAAGATATAATAAAGATATTATGAATTACGGGTGGGAGAGACTAATATAATCAAAGATATAATGTAATAGACATTAGACTATGATTATAACGAGGTTAAAGGTAGGTAACA